TGGTTACTACCCATCCCTACTCACAAAGCTTCTGGGTGATGATCTTTAAGCTCATTCCAAAAGGCAGGTCTACAATCCCTCACATGCTTTGACATTGCTAGGCCATTTGTATTGTTAACACCCACACCCCAACCTGAACAACTGTCTAAGTAAACCTCATCCCTCGGGCCACTCACAGTCAGAGGCTACTCAGACCAAGTCCTTTGCAACCTGTTCTTCTATTGTGTGCCTTCCTCTTGGTTTGTATATATTTCTCATGTCTATTTATCTCTGCTGTCTTACTATTTATGCTTCATACCTGCACAGTTGTTGTGGAGCACCCACAGTTAGGTTGTACATGTACAATGGCAATAAAGGGCTATTATATTGTATTAAATTATCTTGTTATGCAGGTAGATGGATGGAGGGATGAAAGGGTTATCAAAAATCCAACAGTAACACCAAGTTTTTTTTAATTTTAAAAATTACAACAAAGTTTCTGTAACCTTGCACTGATCTTTGCCTAACACTAACGCTGCCATGTGCCTAAACCTAGCAAAACCGTAACCAGGAGGCATGGACTAAAAGAATCAAGCATAATGTTACAAAGTCCAGCTGCAGATCAGTAGGCGATCTTAATATCAGCTCAGCTGTCAACTAAACTGATGTCCTTGTGCAAATCGTCAAGTCTTGCTATTGCTCTGGCTCTGGATGAAGGAAGGGGAAGTCCCAGAAGAGTCATACCACCAAATAGATATGATAACAGATAAACACATCAGTCTTCTTTTGCCTGTAGATAACATGACTGAAATGCATTTTATTTATTACAATTACAGTGCACTGAACTATGTTTGTGTGCACTAGCTGCTGGCTGGAGCACCATTTGGAACAACAAGAAGTAAAACGATTCCCAAGGAACACCTGTCTTCAGCCCAGGACCTGGACACCATCTGGTCTCTTGGGGCAAGCGTCTTTCTTCTTACTATTCTATCAATAGCACATTATTACAGATAGACTCGAACATTATTCAAACATTATTTTACTCCCTTTCTGACCAATTAAGATAAAACCGATCGAAACCTCTTCCAGTCCAAAAGTTGAATTCGAGTTAGGATATAGGAGCAAGTAAAGACATAATTCTTTCATCCCTATATAAACATTTCATATAATGGATACTAATGATCGTGCTCCAACTGATTTCCTTTACTGTTTTCATTTTCACCATTTTTATCTCTTTGTGTGTATTGCCATGTGTGTTTGTGAAAACGTGTTGTCTTCTTCACAGGGCTACCTCCAGTACTCTGTGTTATTCTATGGTTACTACGGCAGGGTGAGGAAAATCGGCAGTGCAGGGTACCGATTACCCCTTGCCTACTTCCTGGTTGGAATGGCTGTCTTTGCCTACAGTTTCATCATTCTTTTGCGAAAGTAATCATTATGCTCTTTAAAACTTATACTGATGCTATAATTATCTGATGGGTTAGCAAATTGATGTCTTAGAATGATTTCAAGTTTGTTAAAACTGGGAAAAAAACAGTTAAAAGTTAATCTAATCCTTACTTATCCCTACTGAATCTATAACATTTCACAATAACATGGTCAGAGTAATGTTTAGCATAATTTCCAATCTTTGCAACATTTAATAATCAGCAACTTAATATAAAATAAAAATGACCCAATGTTTCCCAACATCGCACAAGGCATCACATTGTTCTCTTCTCCCTGTTGCTGTTAATGCTTCACTGATGGTGAAGGACTGTTATTATTAAAATAAAAAAACATGATGTGCAAATCGTCTGATAATATGAAAAATAATATTTCTGCAGAATGGCAAAGAATTCACGCCTGAGCCTGGCGAGTGCTTCTGATGAAAGCTTCACTTTCTGCTGGAGAGTGTTCTGTGCCTGGGATTACCTGATAGGAAACCCAGAGGCTGCAGAGAGCAAAGGAGCTGCTATTGTTAACAACATCAGGGTCAGAGAAGAATGTAACTTGAATTGTGCAATTAATATTTTTTTAAGAACGAGATATTTAAATTATGACCTAAGCACGAGTGACTATCAATACTTTTCTGCACAGGAAGCCATTGTCGAGGAGCAAGAAAAGAAGAAGGATACCAGTCTGTAAGTGCTTATTTGTGAGCATTGTTTTGTATGTTTTCTGTTTGTCCAGCTTTCTCCAGCTCAGTCTATTGAAGCTATCGGTGAGTGACTGTTTCTTTACAACCCCAAAAAGTTGATTCTGTTCATCTGGACATAGCGTTCAATGCAGAAGCGTTTCGTCACTCAGCCAAGTGACGTCTTCAGTCTCAGCTGACTGCAGGTTTCCCCAAACTTATGAACAGTACATTTGCATAATGACTGAAACCAGCCCACTGGTGAACAATGGGCTATGAGGTCAGTTTCATGATCATTAATATGCAAATATTCATGACCATTGATCAAAAACCATTGATTTGGAGAATGGCTGCAATCACAGCATTGTGAGATGGGCAGGTACCTCAGGCTAGGCTCAAGGCATGCTGAAGAGAATATGTCTCTTAGATCAGCGGTCTCCAACCTTTTTTGCGCCACGGACCGGTTTATGCCCGACAATATTTTCACGGACCGGCCTTTAAGGTGTCGTGGATAAATACAACAAAATAAAACTAGTACCGGTACCGAAAAAAATAAGATTTATTCATAACACACGTGAAAAGACCCAGGAAAACAGAGTAAACGATAAAAACGATAATAAAATAACGCTGAAAACCGATAAAAACCCTGAAAACTATACATTTCACACCTGAGCCTCAACTCTCGCGGCCCGGTACCAAACAACTCACGGACCGGTACTGGTCCGAGGCCCGGGGGTTGGAGACCGCTGTCTTAGATTATCTCAGAAGATAACGATGAGGTGGCTGAGGAAGGGGAGGTAAATTCTGCTTAGACTGCAGGAGATGGATGGATACAGATCTTTAAGTAGCCACAATTCCTTGAAGAACAAGTGCATCTCCTGACACTGAAAATGGCAGTGACATGTAAATCATTGGTGACACTGAGCTACAATACTTTACTTTAGGCAGAAGTCTAAGTTGATTAAACCCAAAGATTTTCTAATGTTTAAAATCTATACATTTCCAAATCCTTGACATTTTATATTCTAGGTTCAGTGTTGGTACAGGGAGGCTAAAATCCTACAGACAGACTCATGGCTGAAGGTGGTCCTTTTGAAAGTCTATGTAAATAATGAAAGAGTCAGCAATAACAAAAAGAGGCTGGAGTGACACCTTATCTAAAGTGTATGTGGTTTAGAACATCCAACATACAGATGTCTACTAAGAATAGTGCATCACAATTACATCCACTTGTCTAACTGATCATTGCCAATGACACTGTGTTTTCCCTCAGTGCAGTTCTGATCAGTCTACGGATCTTGGCCAACATCCTGGTGCTCCTCTCTTTAGCAGGGAGCATATACATCATTTACTTTGTGGTGGATCGTTCTCAGAGACTGGAAAAGGAGAAGCCGGAGCTGACGCTATGGGAGAAGAATGAGGTACAGGAACAGACTGGACGTCACCATCCTTATCATCAGTTATTTTAATTGGATAATCCAATATACAATACAGTTCTAAGGAACCACTGAAAGTGGAGACTTGACATGGATCCAGTGGAAGGCAACTACTAAATGTATGTATCCATCTGCCAGTTTTAGAGAGCTTTAGTCACCTTACGGCAACCAGCTCACTCTCACAACAGAATGTGTAAGCTATGCTGATCAACTGTGCAACAGATGCAAAATTTCTTTTTCTCAACAGAAGCTGTAAAACTGCTACATGCCTACATCTTTTGACCTGTTTTTTGTAACACACATTGTTGCCCAAAGGATTTACTCATTCATCCAAATTATTGAATTCAGGTGTTCCAATCACTTTCATGGTCACAGTTGTAGAGGCACGCAGACTGCTTCTACAAACATTTGTGAAATAATCGAGGGCATTGTGGTACCGTGCAACAAGTCCAGTCTGGAATTTTTCTTGCCATCAAATACTCCAGTGTGGCATTATGCCACACTGAAAGTGACTGAAAAAGGCAGCAACTCAGCCACGATGAGGCTGAGACCACGGAAAATTGCAAAGCGGGGTCAGCGGATACTGTGGGATGTAGTGCCCAGAGGTCACCAACTTGCTGCAGAGTCAATCTGTACAGACCTCCAACATTCCTGTGGCCATCAGAGCTCAAGAACATTGCATAGAGCTTCATAGGTTTTCATGGGCAAGCAGCTGTATCCAAGCATTACGTCACCAAAGTGTCTGATGTAGTGCCACTTGGGTGCTTATAGCCGAACTTCTTGCCACACACGCATAACTGAAAACTGGACCTAATGAGCATGTTCAGTTATTATAAACATTCAATGAATTAATTAATCAATGAATCAATTAATTAGGACCCTCTGAAATCACTGAAATTGTTAGAAACAATGAGACATATTTGTTACATGTATTTCAGTTAAAATAACAAACTTTTCTCCAACTACCAACTACCCATCAGTTACTTATGTATCCATCTTCTTTCCAGGTGAGTGTAGTGGTTTCTCTCATCACCATGATTGCTCCATCTGCTTTTGAACTGGTGGCTCAGCTGGAGATGTACCACCCACGAACCTCACTGCGATTCCAGTTGGCCAGGTACCATTGTCTAACCGCAGCCTATAATGACACAATAATGGCATACTACAGCGGTCTCCAACCTTTTTTGCACCACGGGCTGGTTTGTGCACGACAATATTTTCATGGACCGACCTTTAAGGTGTCGCGGATAAATACAACAAAATAAAACTAGTAC